AAATATATATACACACACACACATACACCTGGACCAGTTACTGTCTGTGTCTCTTTCCTGTCCTCTCAAACTCAGCTGGTTGATGCAGATGGCCTCTCATCCTGAGCCTGGATCTGAAGGTTTCTTCCTGTTAAAAAGGGATTTTCCTCTCCACTGTCACCAATGTGCTGCTCAGGGTGGGTGACTGCAACAAAGTGATTCAACGGGATCTGCTGGCTTCCTTAGATCTGTTTGTTGTACAGAGACCTGAGAGAACGTTTGTTGTGACTTAGTGCTAAATTGAATTCAATTCAAGAATCCACTTGTAAATGATAACATATTATTTACACCTGTGTTTTAGTGGTATTTATTTACTGATTAATTCAGCAAAACAAGAGAAGAAGTTGCATCTTTGTGACAGGCTTCTGATAGATTCCAGTTAAAGTAGTGTTGTTGTTTTTTAAAGCTATTTGTTAAATTTCCACACAACAGTATTTAATCTTTTAATTGTATGAGCCTTTTTGGCCTGAATAATTTGTAGGTTTGAATGAAGAAGCTCAACAAACAAACATTTATACAAAAACAATTAGGTAATCTAAAGCAAAACTTTTAGAAAGACCTTCAGAAAGTATGGAGGGAAATAAAAACGCCTTCTTGACAGATCACAAGAAAACCTGATTTCCTAGAAGCAAAATATGAAGTAATAAGCAATGACTAAAGAGTTTTGCACAGTTTGAAGTAAGAAAACAGGGCAGATGCTGGGTTTAAAATATGAACCTCCTCTGTTCTTCTCAAAACTCCTGCATTTGCTGACGACACAACCAACAAAAGTCCCTCTATCCACGGGAGTCATTTACGAATTGGATTACATCTTTTGATGGCAGAATAAAAATTAAAATACTTTGCAGTCACATTATTATTATGGTTTCTATTCATACAATGCAAAGCTGCTCTTTTCTTTAACATAATTTTTAAAGACGGAGGCACAAACTACCAAACATTTAAAATGATTTTAAAAGTCTKTTCAGTCCGTTTATTTTTTCCAGTTACTTCTGTTGTAGAAACACGTGGATCTGAATGGTAACTGAAAGTAAAAATTTAAAAGTGTCCAAACATCAGTATCAGAATATGTAACCTACATGAGTCATTTTACAAAATTTTCATATATCCTTGAGATAACGGTGCAAATACAGACAAATTACACAAAACAACACTGCATCTGCTTTCTGGTAATGTTTACAAATCATCAGCGCTCCAAATTACTCAGAAATAATTGTAATATGGAAAAACTAGTCGTACTCTATGACATATATATAATTTTATAAATATATAACAATCTGAAGCAAACCATTATATGTGCTTCAATAAATGTAAATGTCCAGTGATGGGAGCTTGTAGCTGAGCAGAAAATACAACAATAACAATAAGGTGTTTTCATTAAAACAATAAGACTATTTTAGGGCCTTCTAAACCTTGGGGCCCTTGGCTGCTGCTCCAGTAATCCCTTCTGAAAAGTCTAGACTTGACGACTAATATTAAGGAGAAGTGGTAGAAAAATCAGACACAAGATGGTGAAACAGGGATGTAGAGTCCAGGGATGTGTGCTGCTGCCGTGGTGCAGAGTGATATAATAGGTTTAGGTTTGGATCTGAGCAGTCAGAAAAGCTCATTAAACAGCCATATGAATTTAACCAGGAGAAAACGCAGGTGTTTCACCACTAATAGACTTAAAGTCTGCATCACTATTCATGAGCTTGGTCCACACATGTCCTGCAGAAACACGGCAGAGATCTCTGAGCTTCACTTTGCTTGTTTTTGACATCAGTTCTCACAAATTACACTGTTTATTTTTTGTAAATATTCCTCGCTTTAATCGTTTTACTTTCAGAAAAAGGTGGTTTATATGTACTTCAGTGACACGTGGATAAATTTTGTGCCAAATTAAAGTGACATCAGCAGAAAGTTTACGTCATTCAAAAATGCTATTCAGTGTTTTAGGCCTCTGCATCACTTTCAACAATAAGTAAAGCTATTTTTAACCAAATAAAACAAATATTCAGCTGACAGGACCATTAAAATGATTCATTAGTGGTTAAATTCCTTATTTGGAATCCCTTTCTGATTATCGATTTTCTCCTGCTGCTACTTTCATCATCTCTGCATCTCCCGGGCCTGCAGAAGATATCACCATCCATTTCTGCTCCATCTCGAGAAAAACCACCAAAAAAAAAAAAAAGACACGCGCACTTTGCCTCCTTTAAACGTACACTGCCCTCCCGCCGCACCCCCTCCCCATCCCAGTTGGACCATGACAATCCCATTCACCCTGGCAATATGTCATCCCTCATCCGATTAGTATCAGCAGCACTTGAGAAACCGCAAGCTCCTTGTGGTGAGGGTCCTGAGAGGGGAGGCATCTGTTGGCTGCAACAGGGCAGGCCAGGACAGTCGGGGGGTCTGGGGGGCGAGGGGGTAGGAGATAACACACACAGAAAAACTACAACTAAATATCAATAATAACTCTGTTTTTGCACCAACAGCTGATTATTTTAGTAAATGCAGTAAATGTGATGTCATGCCCCCCCCCCCACACACACACACTCTTCTATTCTTTGCTTTATTCCCCAGCCCCTGTTTTTTTGTCTCCCCCTGATCCGAGAGGCTTCTTTCAAGAAAAGCAGGATAAAGGTGTAATCCATAAAAACCTCTCTGTAATGCTCCCGATGCCTCCCAAGATCCACTTTTTTAAATCCTCAAATGCATGTAGAGGATTCATAAATCCGCCTTCATCCTGACAAGACAGTAAATCTAGCAATATTAGGACCTGCTCCAAAAAATATTATAATACAAAAACCAGACAAAAAACACTGGCCTCGCATCAACACACAAAATTCTATAAACAAGAAAAATATATCTTAAAAACAGTGAAATGTTAAAGATATGTGTCTGAAGGACACTGCTCTGCTAATCAGAATATAAAAAGCTGAGATGTTTACTCATAGTATCAGAAATAAGCTGCACTTTTATTTTTAGATATTTAAAGTTTTTAAGTAACAATCTCTCACCAGCAAACACACACACTTCTTCAATTTTGTTAACCCTAACACACACACACACACACACACACACACACACACACACACACNCACACACACACACACACACACACACACACACACACACACACACACACACACACACAGGAGAGAAAAAAAACTGAAATGAGTCATGATTAGTGACAAGAGGCACACGATGACACGGAGGTCAGGTCATCATGAGTCACTTCTGCTGTAATTTAACCAGATGACTCAAACTCTGAGCTCAGGTTTCACATTTTATTCATGTTTGTGCTGGAAAAAAAACAGATTAAGAGGTAATTTGTTAGAGAATCTAAGCTTATTGTATAATACTTATTGTACGTTTTCCAATCGTAACAGTCGATAGTATATACAACCCATATGCACACAAAAAAGCATGATTTTTTGTTTTTAACTTCAGTTGTACACAGATCAGACCTAAAAGTGTCTGAAAGGCTTTAGTTTGTGAAACACATGAAGAGCAGAAGTTCTGTCTTTTAAGATCAATACACAAACAGAGCACTAATACTTTTTGTTGTAGTTTTGAACAAATTAATGATGGAAAAGTTTACTTTAAAATAAGTCAGAAACAATAATAAAAACAAAAAAACACCTATGATTCTGAAGTTGTTTTTTTTTTTTACATTTATCCAGAACAATCGTGTTTGTAGGAACACCTAAAAGAATTTCCATGTCTGGTAAACTCAGGCCACATTCTCAGATTTTTATGTTTATTTTTTACACCTGATCCAAACAAAATGAAAACATGCGGTCTCTCAGTCAAAAGTCAAGCAGGACGGTCAGAAGTTGTGGTCAGACGTGAAGAAGTCTCCGCAGCGACACAAAGCCCCGCTGAGCCGCCGCTCGTCCACTCTGGTGGGGGGATAAGCTAAAAATACCACGGGGACTCTCAGCTATTGACTAAACAAACCGGAGCTAATGGGAGGCCACAGTACTCTGCCCCCCCCCCCCACACACACACACACACACACAGGCTTACTACGACGTCTCCCTGGAGAGTGTGATATAATCAGAGAGAGTGGCAGACTGAAGCAGTGAAACAGGCTGGTCTGTAGCCAATAGGGACACGGCTAGCAGGTCAGGCCTCATCATCGCAACACACACACACACACACACACACACACGCACGCACGCACGCACGCACACACACACACACACACACGCACGCACGCACGCACGCACGCACACACACACATAGAGGAATGATAAAATAAGTGTGTGAGGAGGAAGACAGCAATAAATGGCTGTTAGTAGATATTAAAACATTGTCTATACACATTTATTTAAATTTATTTCAGAAAGGAGAAAAAAGTATACAGTAAAAGATATTTGTTTTTCTAAAACACCTGTGGTCGGGTTTAAACACCTCACTGGTAGCTTTGCTCCATCCCTACTGGGACCCAGCATCAAGAGGGTCAACAAAACCTGAGAGTCTGTGTGCTTCTTCAACCAGTGAAGGGCGTCGACTTCTATTTTTGATTTGTTCATGTAGAAGCAATAAAAAGGGTGTGCTAGAATAAATAGTTACAACTGCAAAAACTGCACACCAGGTGTTATAAAGAATAATGCAACTTATGAATAAAGAAGGAAGAGGATGCTGAAACACAAGCATTCTGCTGCCTCACTCTCCATCTAGTGGTGACCTGCTGGTACTGCACATTTCTGCAGAATGGTTTTAGACTGGATAAAAAATGCATTTGTCATTCTGTATGTCAACGGTTTACTTTCTAAGAAGATGCTTCAAATAATTTTTATTTATGTTTTTCTGCAGATTCTCCAAAGCAGTGGTTTCCAAAGTTGACCCCATGGGGTCCCGAAACGTCAAGGTTTTTTTTTTTTTTGCCTTGGTTGTTACAGAAAAGAGTTGGATAAAAGTAGCATCATGAAAATTGTTACATTCTTGTTTATTTGACTTGATTTGAATGTTGATCGCCCAAAAAATATCTGGGGGCACAAGTCTCTGATACTGTTATTTTGTGGGTCAAAGCATAAAAGTTTGGAAACAAGTGCTCTTATCTTGCTGATTTATTGCTAACTATTTTATGTTTTCTCTGGAAACAAACCAGCACTTCTCTGTTCTGTCTGAATGCAGTTGGTTTGAGTACCTTTGCCAGCACTGAGACGTATTTGTTGAGTGCTTTCAGAGTGTCCTTTTCGAGAACGTCAAAAGCAGCCACCTCCACACGCAGGGAGTAGTGCAGAGCCGACTCCAGGTCTGCCATATACACCCGGGACCTGATGGCAAACAAGGTCACACAGGAAACAGTACCTGCAGATAATGAGCGTCGGCTAACTGTGTCTTGTTCGTACCTGTTAAATGGTCTCCAGGGCTCCTCGGTGCTGTTGGTGTGGATCTGAGTGAGGACCATTGGGGGGTTCCCTGAACGCACCACACCCGGCAGCCTCTGGAGGGCGTAAGAGTAGAACGCACGAGCCTCAAAGTTGCTTTGGGACAGAAAGAAAAGTGAGACTGGACTCCTGGGTCACCTAATTATACAGGTATACTCAGTAACACAACATTAAAATATAACTGTAATAGAATACTGACGAACAGCTAACCCTAATAAAAATATCATTTTGAGCAGTTATTGATTACAGAAACAACGTAACACTTGGAAAAAGAGCAGCAATAGAGTAAAAACTCAAATAAAATGATACACATGAATGTTTCATTTGGAATAATTTAGTCCTATTTAAATTTTTGTTGCACATCATCCAGGGCTGCAACAACTAATTGATAAAATCGATAAAAATTGATTATTAAAAGTGTTGGCAACAAATTTCATTATCGATTTGTTGTGTTGGGCGATTTACGATGGTATTAATTTAATGATTAAGCTTTAAGTTTTAATTTGCTGACCATGTCTGAGTGAAGACACTTGATTTTCTTACTTGTCTTAACTTAATACTGCAAATAAAACAACACATTTATTTAATTATAGCAATAAGCAGCTGTCTTGACGGAAAGTCATCTTAACACGATCGTCACTGCCATGAGACTGTTCATGATCAGAGATAAAGACTTCACCATAGTAGTTCACACTTTTAGTTCAGGTTACACTCTTCCCTCAGGGACACGTTTTACAAAGTTCATTGAGAGAAAATATGAAGAGACTTTTAAGGATACATTTGTGTTTATATTTGTGTACATTCATTTTTGCTATTTGACAAATGTTTAGCTTTTTATGCATTACAATTTAATATTATAGTAACAGAATTCTCAAACGGCAAACTGTGTGATTTGCTATGTCAGTCATAATTTTTTTTTTGGAATAAAGAGGTCAAAATTAAAAACGTTATTTGTTTTCCGATTCATCGATTAATTGAAAAAAATAGTTGAACGTTTAATTGATTATTATAATTGTTAGTTGCTGCCCTAACATGTTCTTCTTACTATGTAGTTTGTTGGTAAAAAATAAGTGCAGACCTCAGTTAACTGGATTTGTTACATGTTGGAATCGCTCCTGTTTTTGTGGACCTAGATTAATAATTATCTATTTTGATCATAATTATTCTTTTATCTTGATTTGTAGTCATTTGTCTAATTTTATACCACATGTTTTGAAATATTTAATTTAAAAAACGTTAATTTCTTTATCAATAAAAACTAGTTGGAATGGTTGGAAACAAATATCTGCACAAAGATTTAAAATTTCTGGGCCAAGATGGTTGGTATGTTTTAATGTATTTAAAGTACATGTGGCATCAAAGTTTTCTAATAAACGCAAATGCCTTTTTGGAAAGATAACATTGATAACATGTTTAAAAAACAATTCCACACTGATGAGATGAACAGTTGTTGAGACATTTGCATGTCAAGTAACAGGAAGTGCTGTCAAAGGGGAATGATTGCATGTGAACAGAGCATTGCTACAACAGCTAGTACAGACTGTAGAGAATAATCTGTTTCTTTAGATTATTTTCAGTCACTGTCAGAGAGATGAAGTTCAGAGTTCAAATAATATTGTTTTAATAAGCAAAGACAAGAAAGACCAGAGTTCCTTTTCTTAACGAGTTTCCCTTTAATGTCTCTTCCTGTTTCATTTTGGCTAAACCAAGTTAAAAAGTCTGACAGTTATGTGATTATGTGAATTTTCCAAAAATAAAGATGTTTTCTTTAACTTTTTGTATTAGAAGGAAAATGAGTGTCATATAGGGCTGTGTATTAGCATGAATTTGGTGAAATGATACATAGGGGTCACAATATGACATATTGCGATACATCACAAGATATTGCAATACTGTAAGCAAGGTGATATTTTGCCATTTGTTCTCCAAAAATTCTAATAAAAACGCTCAGTTTGTTTTATATGATTACTCACACTGCTAATGTTTGTGCACAGCATTAACTCCCTGGCTCTTTGAGGTACACTTCGCTGCAGCATGCAGAACGGGGCGGTGACAGACCTTTCCGTCAGTCCCATACCTTATATGGAAGTGGGACTATTGCATTCCGGAAATGAAGGTTGCTCCTTAAAGACGCGGGATTAAGAGAGCAAAGGAAGAAGAAAGGAMGAAGTTAGAGAGTTTCTTCTACTCACGTTGAAGTACTCAGAGCATTATTTATTACTTTCTTTTATCCACCTCCCCAAACACAGACCCTCAGGTTAACCTCACAGGTCTAATGCCTAAGGTTAACCTCACAGGTTTAATGCCTAAGGTTAACCTCACAGGTTTAATGCCTAAGGTTAACCTCACAGGTTTAATGCCTAAGGTTAGTTTGTTACTGTAATATA